CTAATTCTTCTAACTCTCTTTTCTCCAGAAATCAATTTTGTCATTGCTGCTTATCTTCCTTTTTCAAATGCTCTCTTCTTTTTGTGAATAGGCATACGACCTCCTGTAAGTCTTCTTTTATGTCTACTATCTCTTGAAATTCCCATAAATTATTAATATATTTAATATAAAAAGATTTTATTTAATTTAAAAATCAAATGGAAAACATTCAATAGCTTCTAGATCCCTTTTATAAAAGAAAGAAATATAATCTCTATTTAAAATGATAAGTTTCTTTAAAACCTCATATATTTAAATACAATACGTGTAAAAATTCAAATAAAATCTTTGTTGAAAAACATTAATTTTTCTAGAAAAAAAAGACAATATTAATTAGTTTAATATAAATATGTCTAGTTTATATAATCTCTTTACATTTTAATAATTAATAAGATTATTGATCATGTGATGGTGTAATTCTATTTATTAAAATCAAGAATTTAAGATATTATTAAAAAAAATAAAAACTAAATTAAATCATTATTCTTCTTGTTTCTACTCGTAAACTTCTTTTGAAGTATTGAATTGATTTTTTTCATTAAAAATATTTAGACTGAGTTCAGTGAATGTGTGGTTAAGATCTTTTTTAGATTATTCTAATAATATTATAATGAGTTAGTTTTAGNTTGAATTAGTGATAAATTAATATAAATAAATTATTCTGTGCAACAATAATGTACTTATTATATCATTTCTTCTTTTATTCAATCTTTTTAATGTAGAATTCTAATTCTTTTCCTTCTAGAATATAACCATCAGCTCTTCCTGATTATCCAGGTCTTGATGTTATTCTAACCAACAATCTTTGATTAGAGAATTACTCTTGAACCAATTAATCAATCACATTATCTTTTGCTCTTTATGCAAACTTTTTTTAAAGAGAATTTGATTTCTATGTTTATTCAGCTGGTGCATCCTATATATTTCAATTCAATTTTTACTTTCTTATCTTTCTTTTTTGGTCCTAATTCAACATTGTATTTTTTAGCATACCATAATTTGAATGGAGTAGCATCAATTTAAACAATAACTCCTCTTGTCAATGTCTTTGTTCTAACCAATTCATTATTGGAAGGATGATAAACAACCTCAACAATTTTTGCTTTTTTTGCTACACCTTGGCTACCCCAAGAGAAATTTCCTTCAGACAATCTAAGAGCTCTAAATTTAAAATTTCCTCCTCTAACTCTAATTCTTCTAACTCTCTTTTCTCCAGAAATCAATTTTGTCATTGCTGCTTATCTTCCTTTTTCAAATGCTCTCTTCTTTTTGTGAATAGGCATACGACCTCCTGTAAGTCTTCTTTTATGTCTACTATCTCTTGAAATTCCCATAAATTATTAATATATTTAATATAAAAAGATTTTATTTAATTTAAAAATCAAATGGAAAACATTCAATAGCTTCTAGATCCCTTTTATAAAAGAAAGAAATATAATCTCTATTTAAAATGATAAGTTTCTTTAAAACCTCATATATTTAAATACAATACGTGTAAAAATTCAAATAAAATCTTTGTTGAAAAACATTAATTTTTCTAGAAAAAAAAGACAATATTAATTAGTTTAATATAAATATGTCTAGTTTATATAATCTCTTTACATTTTAATAATTAATAAGATTATTGATCATGTGATGGTGTAATTCTATTTATTAAAATCAAGAATTTAAGATATTATTAAAAAAAATAAAAACTAAATTAAATCATTATTCTTCTTGTTTCTACTCGTAAACTTCTTTTGAAGTATTGAATTGATTTTTTTCATTAAAAATATTTAGACTGAGTTCAGTGAATGTGTGGTTAAGATCTTTTTTAGATTATTCTAATAATATTATAATGAGTTAGTTTTAGTTTAATATAAAATTATTGTTTAAATTTAGTTATTGTTAGATTTTTAATAATAATATAAAATTAAGAAAAAGTAGACTCTCTCAAAAATGAAAACTTTAAAATTTCAATAAAAGAGATTTTGTTATTTTATATTCTTCATCTTTTCTCTATTTAAATTATGTTTAATTAATAGAAGTAATTTTCTATACATTAGTGATTTTAAATGGAGAATCATAATTATTGTATTTTTATTAAAAACTAAAATTATAAAATAGTGTAAATCTTTATTGTTTAAAATTAATAACTTATTTATCATTATAGAAATTTAAACTCTAATTTTTATTATTTTGTTGATTATGCAATTAAAGATATGGATTATAAATTTATAAATGATTTTAAAGAAAAATAAAAGTAATTATCAATAAATTCTAAATATTTAATTTGTTCTTCCAGAAATTTTATATTATTTTATTATAACCATATTGCTTATAATAAATGTATTAGCATTTTAATATTTTTCATGAAATTCAAGAATATTTATTTATTATCTTCATACATTTCTAATAATAGTTATATAGGAAAACTTTAAAAATAGAATTATGTTGATATAACCCATTATTGTGAAAGTATATTTAAATAGATATGATAAAAAACACATGATTGAATTTATAGGTATAGAGGGGAAACAAATTCTAAGAATTTAATGAATAAAAATAGATTGAAATTAATTGTAAATTTTCAATATTATAATAAACCATCAATGATCCATTAATTTCTATCTTCTTGAAATGGATGAGTTCTTATTGGGAAGCTTTAATTATTTTGTGGTTCATCCTAAACTGCAAATAAGAATTGATTAGGATTAGTTAATGATCGTATTGTCCAATGATTAGATTCTGTTTATTCAATTAACCATATATTTCTGAGTTCTTTAATTGGGTGAAATCTGACATCATAATCATGAAATTAATTTAGTTCTTTTTTATTATCAACATATAAATAAAAGGAGGGGAATAAGAAAGATCTTATTGCAAAAGCATCACCATTCACTCTATCAAGTATAAATTTTGAATGTTAATTATTATTTTATTTAACATTAACACTAAAATCATCTGTAAATGATTAATGAGAATCACCAATTGTTAAAGTATGTTATGGTAGATGAGCAGGATTGAATGTTACAATAATTGGATCATATTTTAAAGGATATGGAGTTGTAAAATTTGGATTAGAGACAATATACCAATGATTATTTTAATTTTCTTTATTTTAAGTGCGTACATCTAAATCCTTACCATGGTTATTAGATTTATCAGTTGCAACAAATAAAAAATGATTTGGATTTGTCTCTGATCTAATAGTGAATACACTCCATCCATGACTTTCAATAATCCAATTATTTCTTGCTTCTTAAAATTAATGAGTTCTAACATCGAAATCATCTTCATGTTTTCTAGTATTATCATTGGAGCAAAATAGGTAATGATTTGGTTTAGCTGCAGATTTGATTAGATAAACATTTTCTTTGACTTATTGAATTATAAAATATGTATCATTTGATTTTTCTTAGACACATCTAACATCAAAATCATCCTATAAAGCCCTAGACTTATTTGTACAGGCTGCAAGATATCTAGTTGGAGCAGCAACAGGTCTAAAAGAAATAAGTAAAGGAGAAGATCCAAGTTCCATAGATAATTTTTATTTATTTTTGATAAATACAATTATTGGAAGATATGATTACCATTATAAAATATATGGAATGAATAGATTTGATGAATAAATAACTTCAAATTATAATAATAATACAATAAATCTAAATGAATAAAATACTTTTTATAATACATAATCAAAATTCATAAAAAATACCAACCTTTAGATTTATTTGTATTTCATAAATTGTAAAAAGAATAGAGAGATACTTATATTATATTATTGATTAAATCTGATTGATTTTAATATAAAATACCCATCACATAAATCCATCTATGGCCCATTTATTTCTTTCTTCAATACATGGATGTGTTCTAACATTGAATTCTTGTCCATTTCCTTCATCTTAAACTCCAAATAAGAAATAATTTGGATTAGTAGCTGATTTAATTGTGAAATATCCTGGTGCAGCTGGTTCAATGATCCAATTATTTCTAGCTTCTTTGTTAATGTGGAATCTGGCATCATAATCATTCCATTAATTTAATGATTTACCATCAGCACAGAATAAATAGTAAAGTGGACTTGAACATGGTCTAATAGTGAATATATTTCCTTAGACTCTATCCAAAAAGAATTAACACTTATCTGTTCTTGTTCCTCTAACTTTAACTGCAAAATCAGAATTAAATTATTAATGTGGATCTGAAAATGTTAAGAAATGTTGTGGTAATAGAATTGGTCTTAATGTAACAACAGGTGGTTAATATAAGAGTGGATATGGATGAACAATATTTGGTACTGTAACAATGAACCAAAGATTTCTTTCTTCTTAATTAGTATGAGCTCTGACATCTTATTCACCATGAGCATGTTTTTCTTCATCAGCAGCAAAAAGATAAAATAATGGATTTGTTTCAGATCTAATTGTGAATGTACTCCATCCTACATTTTCAATGATCCAATGATTTCTTTGTTCAATATGATGGTGAGTTCTGACATCTAAATCTTTTCCGTATTTTTTATCACTTTCACCTGCACAGAAAACATAATGATCTGGATGTGCAGCAGGTTTAATTCTATAGATAGCTCCATTAACATGTTCTAATAAGAAAAATGTATTTTCAGATTCTTATTGAACAACTTTGATATCAAGATCATCTCCATGATGTTTTGCTTTGTTTATTGATGATGATAAGAATTTTTTAGAATCTGGGAATGGTCTAATTGAGACTACAGCAGGTATTTATGGTTATTACATTTTATTTAATAAATTTATTTAAATTAAAATCCTTAAATATTGTCAACTTATATATGGAATAAATAATTATTCTATAAATTTCTATTCTTTTTATTATATCATAAAATTAACACTATTTATTTGATTTTCGACTCAAAATTTTAGATTTTTTTTTATTTATAAAATCCAAGGAGTACTTTTGAATTCATTAATTTATTCTTCTTAAACTATTATCATATGTTCATCCAAGGTCAAGACTATACACAATTTAAGAGAAAACAAATATTTTAAAAGATTATTACAAACAGCAATTATGGTTGTATCTACAAATAAGATTGTAATGTTTTCACATATCATAAAGATCAATACACACCAATCTGTTATCAGAAAATCTAGTCCAAGTTCATCTATAAGCTGATTATGCAATATAATAAATGTACATTTTTTCGCAAGGTAGAAAATCTTTAGAAAAAATGTACAAAACACAGATTAATTGGATCATAATGATCAATAACTAATGTATATGAACTATTGACCTCTATTTTTGACAGAAAATAAATCATGAAACTCATAACAAATTATCTTACAATTTCACAATCACAATTAAATGAAACTAAAATCTTAGATTATTTACTTCTGTTACTAATATTAACAAATAAGTAGATCATAACAATGTAGGTCCACTTTATATCTATTTAAGGATATATATGAATAAAATTTAATAAATATTGGATAAAATACAAAAGAAGAGAAAGTACTCTCTAAATGTTTTGTTATAGAAAGTAGCGTCATTTAAATTGAATCATATTTATGATATCAATATATTTCCATAGATGAGTCAATAATTTGTGAATTATATTTTTCTTTTAAAAAAATTCTTAATTATATAATTTTATCGTTGAAAAAAATCATTATTTTTTGGATTTATTATGTTGAGAATTGTAAAATTGAAATATCTAGACTTTTAATTAATGATGAGTTTAATCCTTATTAAATGAGAAGAGATATTTTTTAGTTAATAATAGTAAGAAAAATAAGGTAATTATTTTTTAGTTAATAATAGTAAGAAAAATAAGGTAATTCTTGATGTATAACTTTTGTTTCTTTTAATTTTTAAGAATTCTGTAGATGTAAAATATAATACAATTTGATAGTCTGTTTAATGTATACCTAATTGAAAAGCAATATTATATAATATATACTAAATCCTCATTCTGCTTAGACATCTATAGCATATAAACCAGGATGAATATTTTTAGAATTTCCTAATTTTTTAATTACCCAACTTTTTGAGGGTTTCATAACACAAATGATTCTAATTTATATAAATTAATTAATATACCCAGAAAATAATTTAGTTTAATCAGCACTACATCCATTAAGACATTATGTAATTTTATTCCATTACTCCAAGGTTAATAATAATCCACAATATTAACATGCTCTCAAATCCTTAATTTATTTAGGTATTGCAAATGACTTTTCTTCTTATGACTCTTGTCCTGAATCTGAGTTATTCATGTATAAAATACTTTAAATTAAATTAATTATAAAATTCCCACAATATTTATATTTTTTAATTATTTAATTTAAATGATCAAATTTTTCTCTTAATTTATTAATATATATTATTATCTTATTTATTATTTAAGATTTAAACTAAAAAATGAGTAAAATATATTTAATGATAATATTAAATTAGATGATCATTGTTAAAGTAAGCTTGATAATATTAAATATAAAAATAATCAATAATCATCATGAACAATTATTCTTGATAGGAGTGATTTTGTTGAGTATACTTATCCACCCAAAACTCCAATTAATAATGTACCATTATTAGTTAAAAGAAATGTAAGAGTACTATCTTTATCTAACATAGATATAGAATCTACAAATTCATCACTATTATATGTAAATTTTTCTTTTTCTGTAATATTTTTATCTAAAATTTTGAAGTTGTTAAAATGATATTTCATTATCATATTATAATCAGTTTCAAAATATGTTTATAATCTCAATTAAGTTTATTCTGGAATAATTTCAAATTAGATTCTATGTAATTTCAATGCTTTATATTACTAAGAAATCAGTCTAAATGAATCACAATCTTAAAATTCCAAATGTACTAAAGTATTTTGTATTTATAGATTTAATAACATTTTGACTTATTCCTTATCACAATTAACTAAAATAGGAATTTTACAATTTGATTTGCAAGAATAAGTATTCATTTATGTATTTTCTTCAATTTAAGTTTTGAAATTAAGTTGATAATTGAGAAATGAGATTTGATATTGCATATCCATTCTAAGTAACTTAAAACTATAATATATATAATATTACTGATAAGGCTTATTTAAAGGCTTCAAGATCAATTCTTTCAATAATCATAGGTTAATTAGTTTTTATTTTATCTACTTATAAAGTGAAATGATGAGAATTAGTCCTGCCAATTGAAAGGAAATCTACTTTATTAGTTACACATATATAAAAAGGCTATAAAATTAAAAGTAATTCAAAACATCATTGCGTTTTATTTTCATAAGTCCATCATAAATTTTTTTACTTTCTTTATTAATTACTCCTGAAAATGCAAATTCTGGATCAACTTCTTACTACATTTTAAAAATTTAAAATATATTATTAATAAAAACAAAATCAGCGGGAATTTATTATATTCTACTGTTTTATTATTATACATTTAATTTAATTGTTAATAAATGAACAAAGAAAATGAGGGGTTTAATTTATAAGAAATATATTGTAAAGCACATTAAAATAAAAAGGTAAATTCATTATTCAATTTATAGGCAAAATACAAAATTGTTAGTGTTCCATTCAATAAATCAAAATTCAATTTGATGGATTTGGTGTGTTCAAAATGCGCCATTACACTTATTAGTTAAGGTTATAAGGTATTTTTATTCATTTATGTAGGTTGAGAATATAGAATCAGATGAAACTCTAATGAGATAAGAGTAAATATAATAGTTCCTTTAAACTATTTCATAAACATACATCATTATAAATTAAAATCAATAAAATTTGCTTTAAAAAAAAGAAGATCTAACAAAATTTTGTGAAATGTAAAAGGATAAGGTTAAAGAACATTATAATACAATGAAAACTGCTTTAGACAATAAATTAAAAGAGTAAATTGATTATTTAAATGAACTTCAATATAAAGCAATTACCTTATTTGATTAAAAATATTAAGAAATTAAAGAAACTCATAATGAATTAATTTAAATGCATAATGATATTGAGATCAATCTTGAAAACATAATTATTAAAATGGAATTATTACCATATAAGCAAATTATGGGATAATATAATAAAAGAGTTTCTGATATATAATAGTGTTTAAATAAGATGGGAACATGTAAAGTAGTTTTAGGAAGAGTATATAAAAGAATGACTGAAAATAAAATATTAGGAGGTTTATTTGAAGATTGTGAATTGGAAATTAAAATAGCATAAACATCACTTATGAAAACAGAATAACCATTAAATTCTAGATTATTATCACCTTAATCAATGTCTTAAACAAATATTTTAAATCAAACTCCAGAAAAATAATAAAGATCAAATAGTTAATCAACCAAATTTTTAGAGATTTTAAACAAAGTAAATGAAAATTAATTAAAAACTAATAATTTTTATACTTAATTATTGAAAGGAGAGACTTCTTTGGATTTAAGTGAGAGGTATTGTTCTCCTTCTTTCAAAAAGTGAATTAATTTTATTAAATATTATATAAACTATAAAATTTAATGAATATTCTTATATTCTATTATGAATAACTAATATGTTTATTTTATTATATAAATTTGATTAAGAGTACATATAAAAATATATTGAATTTATATATCTTCAGATTATCATTTTCTCTACTGAACTGATATTAGTTTTTTAAATATATATGAATATTCAAAATAAATATATATGTATGTATATCATAAATATGATAAATCAAATAATCATTTGAATAATGTTTCATTTTTTGAAAGATGATTTCATTTAATAGAAACATTATTTATTAATACAAGAATTGGTCATTTTATTAACTAATTTCTTGATTTTATCCCTCTAAGTAAGTGAGGACTTGGATTAATTTTCAATAAAAGAATCACTTTATTATATGATTTTAACTTGTTTAATTGAATTAGTAAATGTAAGATTTTATGTTTCTAATCGAGGTGAGATTTGAATATAGTAATCATTCTTTAAATTCTGTGTTTTAATGATTTTAGAGGAATCCTATTTAAAAATAGATAAATTATTAAAAGATCTAGTCATTTTATTGGTTGATTTAAGATTAGTGGATTTTTTGAGAGTTGAGGACATTCTTATATTATTTAAATATAGATTGATCAATAAATTTAATAATATTTTAATTTGATAACAAATTTGTTAATGATTAAAACAAGAACAAAACCTGTTTGTAAAACACACTTTAATTTATCATCTAAACAAATAAGCAAATATAGAAAATATATATTGAATTTAGTTAATAGAAAATGGTTAAAATAAACAGATGATGTTTCAACGGATAAATGTAAAATCAAATTTATTGAAAATAAAATACATCATTTTGTTCCAACAGATACAATAATATAGAAAGTAATTAAATTTGATTGTTATCCAAAGAAAGGAATACTTAAAACTAAATGACTTTTTGAAATTATATTTATTGTTTTTAATACAAAAATTTATGAATTAAATGATAACATAAATATCAATCATAACTTCTACGTTAACCTTAATTCTTCCAACGAGGTGGTGTAGGTGGTCTCTTTTTTAATGCTTCCTCATCTTCAATCCAATTATGAGCATTAAGATTTTGAGGATATATTAATTTTGGTACTATCTCTAAATTTCTTTTTAGTATAAGAACTGCACCTGCATTCTTGTGTCTACCACAATAATCAGTTGCACTAAATACTGTAAGTAATTAACCTCCTATTTAATAATTATAAATTTAATATTACCAGCAAATCTCTCAAAACCATCCATAACACACTCATGAGCACGAATAATAAGAGAAAGATTATTTTTTATTAAGAAATTTATAACTCTATCTGGTCCAAACTTTACTATATTTCCAGTACCTGCAGGATCTCTAATAATATTTGGTTATATTCCAAAATCTTAATCTGTATCAGTTGGATCTGACCATAATATATCAACTACTAATTATTATTCTGGAGTTGTAACTTCATGAATTACTTCTAAAGGTCTTTATAAATTTTCTATTTCAGCTACATAATTTAATTAACTCCCTATCCCTCCATGTAGACAAATTATCTTATCTTCAACTATTGCAGCTAATGGTAACCATTCAAATAATCTATTTACTCTTGCAAATACTGAATCATCATCATTAGGATCTTCACCTAATCTCTAAGCACATTCTTCTGAAAATCCAAATCCATTATTTATCCATTTATCTTCATGATTTCCTCTAATCAAATGAATTGATTCTGGAAATCTTACTTTTAGAGCCAATAATAAACAAATTGTCTCTAAAGAATGATTACCTCTATCAACAAAATCTCCAAGAAATAGATAATCAAATGCTTCAATATCACTATCCTTACCATCTACAAATGGAGATCCCCATAAATCAAAGAATCTCATAAGATCTGAATATTATCCATGAATATCTCCAAA